ATCATCCCTTATATCCCGTATTTTCTTGTTGGGGGTCAACCTGACACGAACGCTCATGTATGCTCCCCTCCCGGAGTCATCGAACACCCCAGGTGGGTGGTGAAACACAATCACATCGATCCACGAGTTGCTCAAACGCACTGTTGCCCTGCTATCAACGTTGTCTTCAATGAGTTCCCAGTCGCCTCCATTGCGAGGTCGACACCATGTAGATCGCTTCCAGTGCTTGATGCCATTCGAGACCTTGACAATCCGATTTGGCCGGATATGATCTCGAATCAGGACGTTCATGCGAACTCCGTCCACCAGTGGGTCTTCTCCATCTTTGCAAATCCAAAAGAGCCGATCCCTGTTACCCTCACGGATGCAAAAAGACACAACTTCGCTAAGGAGCTCGCCGTCCAATGTCTTCACCGACACGTTCTTGTTGTCAAACGGTCCATCTGATGCCAAATTGTTTCGGATCAGTCGCTCAAGCTCATCGCGATCATTGGGAGGCTCTCGAGATCGTTGTGGCAACGTTGAAGTTCGAGGTCCATCCATGGCCCCTGAAGATCGGGATCCGTCATCGGTCCCTGGCACGTCCGAAATGTGCGGTGGAGGATGGTCTGGGCTCCTGGGAGCTGGCCTCACAGATAGTGGTCTCGGCGATGGACTTCTTCCCCTGGATGCTTGTGCATGCCTCCAAGGAGGTAACTTGCGACGAAAACTTGGTGATCTTCTGCGCCTTGCTGGTGGCGACGGTGGCGTCGGCAATCTCCGTCGACGCAATGGACTCCTTGATCTCCTTCCGGTCTCGGCCATCCTTTTGATCTCAACCTGTTCTGTCCTAAGATGTCCAACATCTGTTGCAAGCCCTTGTACCAAACGTCGAATCTCATCAAGTTGATCTGATGTAGGATGTCCTGCAGTGGGGTGATCTGATGTAGGATGAGATGAATGTCCACCTGAAACCTCATCGGCTGGAGCATCGCGCACGTCACGGCTTGAAGCCACATTGCCTCGTGATCGTGCCAACCTTGACATGTTCGGGATCAAATGTCGAATTTGTCCCAAGCTCGCAGCCATGTCCTTACATCCATGACAAACTCCACCACAACGCATCTCTCCCCACATCCAAGATGATGCATGAATGAGAACAACGTCATAACCAAGGACTTTGAGGCACCTGTAGGCAGCAAATCCTTGTCCCACTGACCTGTGGCGACCTGACTTGCACTCCAAATCCACCAGCACCTTACTGTCGGCTTCCTGTTGTGTGACGAACTGGAGGATGTTGAGATGTTGGATGAACCTGTCTACTTTGCTCATAGTCTCAAGGATTCCATGATGCCAACCCACATGCGACCTGAGATTAACGTCCTGATCAGGATCGTTAATGTCCTCACAGTTGATGCTCAAAGTGCTCCTGCTGGTTCTGCACGCATGTTGTTGAAATCTACGTCCACGAGTCATGATGATCACCTTCCTGTCACTGCGCAGCTCTTCGTTCAGCTTCGTCTGCAAGATGTCATAGTCCCTCGAATGAAAACCACACATGTCATGGTCAGCCATGGCAACTTCCGATGTGGATGCTGTGTATGCGATATTGTACTTTCTGTGACACTTCGGGATTTGGGGAAGTTCATTCGACGGTGTGTTGTTGATGTTGGTCAATCCTTCAGTCAAGTTCATCACAAGTAAACCTGATTTGGAACATCTCTTGATATTCAATGGTTGATCTTTGATGGAAATCACCCCTTTTGCTAGGTCCTTCACTAGGCCTAACTTGGTTTGCGCATGCAATGAAAGAAGCAATGGGCTGTTGCCTGTTGACAATTGATATGAATCCAACTCCCCATGCATGTTCCCGTCTGGAAGCAGCAGCGAAAAAGGAATAGATCTCACACCTTCGGTCTTGGTACTACCACTTCCCAGACCAGCAAAACTCTTACAACCGTCATCCTTCAATGGCATGCTATAACCTAATCGGGCCAGTCGTGCTTCTGCATCGACTGCCCAGGCTTTGCTATGACAAGTGCTGTTGCAACCTTCGTCCAATACTGCAAAAACATGGGGTGACTTGGCAATGTCAACAGTTTCATAGTTCATGTAAACCAAGTCTTGAGGGTATTGAGTGTCACTTCCATGCAAACAAATGCCAACGTACCCAGCTAACTCCCTGCCCGAGGGGTCGCCGTGCCCATCTTCATTGACAAGAGAAAAACTGTCCTCTTCCTCTGTCACGTCATTGATGGCTTGATGCAGTAGTTCATGAAGTCGTGCACGGGTCATCACCTCAGATTGGCAGGTTTCGGTAACGAGAGTGGCAAACAAGGGTAACAACTCTTCCAACTGGACTGGATTCAATCCATCCGATTCTTCAACCAATGATTCAACAATGGGGACTGTTCGAACTGATGCTGTTTCAACCTTCTTGGCAATGGCAACACGCTCCTTGCGAATCTGCATAGGGGCTTCATCAATGAAAGTGCAACACTTCTTGCAGAAAGTACGGTGTGTTGATTTGCTGGATCCCCTAAAATCGGTGTCATCATGAGGGCAATTTTCAGGGGACATCAACGGTACCATGTCACGCCTTGTTGTTTCGGAATGACCGCACACAAGACAGGTCTTCCTGATGGGGTACCCCGTAGAACCTTGTTTGGTAAATTCACGACATTCCTGACACTTGTTCGGCAAAGGTGGATTTGGGGGGTTTCCTCCTGCCAGTTTCCCGAGTCACCAACAAATCTCGGTGCTCGACACGCGCAACAGGGACTTCGCGCAAGTGAATCCCATCAGCACCAACCACAAAGTACTTGTCAACCCAATTCAACCATGTGACATAGTATGGACTCTTGGGGGTATGTTTCTTGGCATGATGATAGTACCCTGTCTGTTCAAACAACACATTCCAAAAAGACAAACCCTTGAACTGTCCAACAGGAAAGATGCACCCATGGTCCTCGGGTCTCATTGTAACATCGAGATCCCGGGAAATCAAGCCAACGTTGCTGCTGGATGCTGCTGCACGTGAAGGTCTGCTGCTAGGCTTCGCTTGCCGAACTGCCATCATAGCAACTGCATCTCTGTCACGGTCAGGTGAAGCTGTCAAAGTCACACCATCGTCATCTGAAGAATCACTCATGTCGGCAAAGTGAGCTGCGGGCTTTGGAGCTGACTTTCCTGGGGCTCCCGATTTGGAGCCCGGGAATTTACATTCCGGGTCACCGGCCCAGTGCCCTATGATGCCGCACCTCAAACATTTGCTCTTCGACTTCAGCTCTGTGAGCTTACGTCTCCTCTGATCGATAGTGAGGTTGGACTTCACGATCTTTCCTTTGCCTTTTCCTTTGGGCTTGCCAAAGGATTTGCCCTTGCCACCTGCTTTCCCCATCGCAGTGAAAGCAGCAAGTTGTAGCTGGATAGCGTCTCCTGCTTGTCGATCGTCTTCTGCACCTTCAACTTCAAGCAAGCTGTTCAATGCAACTGCTTCGTACTCATCGACGTCGTCAAAGTAATCAAATTCGTTGTCACCTTCTAGGTTTCCTGGCTCCTCTTCTGCAATGTCACCAAGCATGCCAACATATGAATCATCCTCCCAGGATTGATCCACAGCTTCATCCCAAGGTTCTGCATGTTCCTCCCCATCATCGGGGTAGGCTGCATAGGCTGCTTGGGAATACGATCCCTTCGAAGAAGGTTTGCCTTTGCCATAACCCTTGCCTGACGACTTGCCATGCTGTTGAGGATTACCACGTCCTGTCCAGGATCGTGACCCTTCTCGCAAGTGAGTGCCACTGTAGTTCTCGATCAGCACCTTGCCAACACCTTCAAAATCCTTAGTGTCTGCACAGGCCTTCACAACGAGGATCTCCTGTCGATTGAGCCCACTCAACTCCAACATCAACTCTGTCCTCAAGCTGTCCGAAAACACCATTGTGTCATCCAACTCGCATAACATGTGCCACCAACGTCGTCTCCTCTGAACATAGGAAAGCATGGGTTCGCCTGGTTGGCGAGACAAAGGACCACCTTGCTTCTGTCCTGCTCGAAATAATTCCTTGGCTTCCTCACGGGCTCTTGGAAACACATGGGATTTGATCTCACCCACAAGTTTCACAAGGCCACCAGGTTTGGACAACACTTCAAGTCCAAGATCCCTAGCTATTGAGAAAGCATCTCCTCTCAGTCCTTCAATCACCTTGTTGACCAATGGTCCACGGTCAATGTCTGTCTTCTGCTTGCCGGACTTCGAGGATTTTCGGCTCGCTCCAGACTTCGGAGTCGAGACTGCTGATGTAGGCTGGGCTGCTTGAGTAGCACCCGACAAATCTGGAAAAGTAGCATACTCATCTGCATCTTCTGCGGCAGGCTCTGTTGCTGTGGTCCCAACGGGATCCGCAGGCTTACTTGTCTCCTCCTCCAATTGTTGCTCATAAAGACGAATCCGAAGGAGAGTCCTGAACTGCCAATCATGAAAGTTCGCCGCATCACCTGCATAGATGTATGAGCCACTCTTCGTCTCAAGTGGTGCCGACGAATGGCGCTCCTGATTGAAACGAAGGCCATTGATCGACATGATGCTCGCTCCGTTCGGAGTCGAACAAGAAGAAAAAACGTTAACAAGTGTCTGCCCTGGTCAGGGTCAGACAGATTCCCAAACCACGACACACTCGAAGTTCAGTTGATTCCCAAAGTTACCAGACTCAAATTCACAAAGGGTTCCCTGGGTCACTGACGTACCACCGGATGCAGGTCGTCACCTGCTCCGCTACCAATATGAATTGGAAACGGGATCGTCAAATGCCCAACTTTTACCACGGCAGCGCGGTATGACTCAAGGGCCCTAAAGCCAAATGTCAACGGGGCATGTGATCACTTGGCTATACAAAATATACATTAGACAGGTCAAACTCACACCATTATTAACCATAGATATTTAACCCATTAAACCCCTTAACCATCCAATTTAAACCATCAACTTTGGAGGTCAAATCGCTAACGCCGGCAGACGCCTGCAAAAGCACAGAAGGCACCAAAGGCACTCAGATCGGACTGCTGGAAGTCGAAGAAATGGCAGTAGTTGGTATTCTTGGTGGCTGGTATCGCAAAACAATGGTTAATGATGGTTAATGATGGTTAATAGTGGATTATCTGGTGGATTATATATATATATATGTATGTATATAATTATATATATATTGGTTGCCCATTGGCTGGTTGCTGGTTGCTGGGCACCATCTTGAAAAATGATGGACTTCGTCAATGGGAAGGATGACATCCCTAATATATAAAATGGAAAATCAGTTTCATGTTTCAAACCACCAACCAGTTGCTATCGCAAAACAGGAAAAGTTGCATGGTTGCGAAAACATAAACAGAAAAGCTGGATCCACCAAAAAAAACTGTTTGCTAAGATGCAAAAAAAAAGAGGAAATCTTGCAGATCTCAATCCAACGAGGAGGCTTTCTTTCGACTGTACCCTACTGTACCCTATGAACATCATAGGTCAGTAGTCTGTGAACGCTAAAAAAAAAACATTGTGGCACCTACGAAGATTCGTATGTTTCTCGGAAATGCCAAGTGCAAGATCATTGAGAGGCTCGCATTCTTCTTGCATGTTTAGATACTGTAATTATACCCTCTGGTTATCGAACATGGCTGGAAAATCCTGCCATTTAGATGATTTTCCCAGCCACAGAGATTTCCTGATGCCGTAACGCACGGTAACGCATAGTCCAAGCATCACAGCGTTCGCGCATAATGTAGAAGGCAGGGGCTGAAAGGATGATCATGGACAGGGAGAGCCATTCCAGCTTGCCATAGAGCCGGCTGAAGACAAAGAAGCTCACCACTGCAGCAATGACCACATACAAAAAGCCAATCAAAATGGTGATCCTGACATGAAAATGCCACAGATGCCACATGGATTGGGGCTATTGCCATGGTCGCTAAGAGCTTGGGGGGCCAAGATCTTTGCGGATCCATCGACAAAATATGATCACTTTGGTTGCCAATGTGGGTAAAACAAGATCATAAACCACCCAAAAATGGGAATGGTAAACATACCACCTATAAAAATGGTGATGACTGGGGGATGGTTTATGACATTGTTTTACTCACATTACTACATGTTTGATCACTGTCTCGATCCCCGAGAACTTCGACTTCGGCCACATCGCAGACCGTCAAATTCAGCTTCAAGCTGCATCCCTCTGTTTTTTGCTGACACCCAAATCAGATCAAGTTGTAGTTATAAGTGATATATCCAATAAGACAAGATATATCGCCATCATTTAAAAAAAATAACATCTACATATGTATATATATATATGTTTTTATCCTTCCCTATTTCCATCCTTGATGCTGCCATGCTTCATTTTATGTAGACCCGACTCATAAGCCACACAGAGGAGCATCGACTTTAAGGCAAAGAATAAGCCCACCACGCTCCATCGCCACAGTGCAGCACATGAGAAGATTCGGCTGGCACCCTGGCAACCACTGACCCCTGGGGGGGGCCCTTGAAGGGGCCCTTGAATTCATGGCTTTTCCGGGGAAAGCCCTGGAAAGAGCCATGGAACATTTCTGGGGCTGTCAAATATCCGAGCTATCCAAAATTGCTGCCGCGGACCTAAGACAGTGGCGTTCCTATGAAAGGTTCGCCTGCATGATTTAATACATATATATATATATACATATACATATATATATATATACTAAATAGATATTAATATATATATATATACATACATATATATATATATTAGATCTATATATTATATTATATATATATGTATACATATATTAGTATGACATCAGTTTGACTGTCTATGGGATCAAATTGTACATCTTTTTGCAGGGGGATTCGGCTGCTACGCTTCGACCATGTCCAGCTCACAGTCCCAAAATTTCAGGATCCCTGGGATCTGCACAGCTCCACCCTGGCATCACTGCAAAACCCATCGCCGGTCAAGTGCTCGCCACTCCACCAAAAAAAAAACAGCCGAGAGGCCCATTGACCTTCCATAAATACTGAGATCGACAGTCCAAAAAAAAGAGAAACCAGGTAGCCAATGAACTGGATGGAAAGTTGATTCACCTGGCGCCCAATGGGGTAGCAAGGCGTGTCTCGGAAGTCTGCCCCTACGTTGGAGTGGCACCTTCCCAAAAACAAATATGAAATCTATGGTGTAACTTTGTGTAACTGTAACTGGCATGCTACTCATTTCATGTAACGTTGATCAATTAAACTTGTTCGAAATTGAGAATGACAATGGAACAGCGGGAAGAAAAGCAATTCGCGTGGCAGCAAAGCACCAAACATCGCGCTCGAAGGCAGCAACTTAAATCCTGAAGACGAACCCCAACTTTTTGAGAATGGCATCTCCGCAGCCCTGCTTGACGAGACTCAAAGACCCCAATTACTTGGGTCACTCTCCAAAGGACTAAGACTAGGAGGATCTAAGATGTGTATCATGCACCTCCAAACCAGCTGGCATGCAATCTCCGGCCACAAAATGGGCATGTTGATCCATTCACCCCCAAAAACCATACACAAACAGCTACCAATCCTCAAAAAATCGAGTCACCTTTCCGGAACAGGTCTGAAAAATCTGGAATCCATATGGACCTATCGGATCGGAGTTTCCCCGGCCTCGTTTCCAGAGGTTTCCATAAGTCGATTGCGCACAGCATCCAAGATTGAAAACATCACTGCGATGAAAAATCGTTCCTTGCCGGTGATACGATGCTGTGCCGAGCTCAAAAAAGATGCTGTCCCCAACTGACAAGAGAAATCCGTTTTTGTTTGCCGAATTTGATGTTCCCCCATGGACCACACGATGAATTGGCAGAATGCCCCAATCAATCCGCGGATCCAATGGATCCCAAATCCGCACGGACTTGAAGCCGTCTGAACCATGAAATTGCAATGTTTTTTCACATGCAAACGTGGCAAACTCGGGAAATGACCTTCCCGCCGCAATACGGAGTTATCCCGGCCTCAAGTATGGGTGAATATTTAGAGTATTCCCAAATCTGGGAGACCCGTAAAAAATCTTCAAGAATCACATCTGAAGTGCTTTATCTTCAACTCTCATGTTGTGAAAAAAAAATCCTTATAAATTAACTCTTGACTCTTGGCTCCTCATTTGTCGACTAGCTATTGGTTTATGAATTTTATCCAACTTTATTGAGAATATGGGTCAAAACCTTTTATTAACCCATTAAAATAATCATTATTAAAATCCAAATCAAAATCCATTAATCAATGATTCATATCCCATTTAGAATAATCATCCATTCACATCCACGTATGACGTAGCCATTCCCGTTCCCGGAACGCCGCAACAACGGCGTACCGCCGAGTGGCCCGGGTGCCCACACGGGGCGCGAGCCACTGATACAGCGCCGGGGCCCAATAGCTGAGACCACCCCGATGTGAAGGTGTTGGCTGATACGCTTCCTGCGCGCCGTAGAAAGTTATGGAAAGTTCTTCTGGAAAGTGATGGTCAAAAATCATCCAAAATCTATTAAATGGCAGATTACTGGTCATATTTTAAAGAAAAAAATGGATTGATAATGGTGGTTTAACCATCTTTGAGATGGTGATTTAAGCAACAAACATACGGTGTAGTGGGAAAGTGATGGAAATGTCACGTTCATCCCATCACTGAGGAAAAATTTTCGGGGCAACTCACCATTCGAAAAGCAATGGTTTGGTGTCCCCTTTTAGGAAGCCCCCAGTTCATGAGTTTAACATAGTTTAACCTTCAAAATGCGCAAGAAAAAAACCCATATGTATATTGTATATGTGGGGGGGATGGGGTGTGGTGATCCCTATATATCTATACATACTTGACAAAAATGTGTTTTGGCAAATGTTCCCTTTGAATAATCGCGATGAATAGTTGTTAGATGGTTTACAAAATATTCGGGATGGGCAAACACCTGAGACCTTATTAAATAAGGGGCTATACAAATGCAAATTGCAGGAACTTTCTTGGAAATCCGTCCGAATATCTTGGATCTTTGTGTCTTGTGCTATCAGTTTTTTCCAGTGCCTGTGTAGTTGCTTCTCACTTCCTATATTTTCCTAGCATGGTTGATTGTTGAAACCCAAAATAAGTTGCAATCACAGTTCCAAGATTCTTCGCAAAGATTTGGTCAATATTGTGGTTTGTTGCCATCCACCTGTGTAATATTAGGGGGTGTTCTTAAGTCATTGGGGGCTCCCATAGAAAGTCACCATAGCAGCATTGAGGCCTCGTCCGAGGTTGTTTCTCCGTCGCTGTCAGGGGCATCTCTCTCCTTCTCAGAGGTGAACAAAGCGACTAAGCTCTGCTCACCATCAAGTCGGATGCTTTGGCGCCAGGTACCTGAAGCGGGGGATGACTATCTGGGTAAGTCGTATTTCACTAACCTGAAAAAATGCTAGAAAAAGGGATGATTCCCCGAATCCTATCCATGATTCCACTGAGGTCAAAATGACGTCACTATATATCACACTAATTTACCCAGATCACTATGGGATGACGAAAAAACGCGAAGAAAATGGACTTGGTGGGTAAAACGTCGAAAGGTCCAGGAAAAGGCGCTTATTGAGAAACAAAGTTGCCTAAATCGTATGCCCCTCCTATTCATCTACAATATGTGCAAGATGTGTATGTATAAAATACTACATACAATAGATATGCTATAATAAAAAAACATATAGAGGAATCTAATAGATAATATATATACATACACAATATATATATATAACTTGTATATATATATATGTGTGTAGAGTATATATATATATATAAATAATATAATATATTATAAATATAATTTATAGAATATACATTTTAAAAAATATGTATAATATGTATAATATACTATATACTACATAACGAAAATATAATATGTAAGACATGAAAAATAGTGTATAATTTATATATATAATACAAAAATATTACAATATATATAATATAAAGTACATATAATATAGTAGGTACTATATATATATAAGATAGATCTATATATACATAGAATATATATAATAAATAAAACTAATGTAGACATAAATATAACATATATATATATATTGTATATTAAATGTAAATAATGTAAATATATATATACATGTTATATATATATGTATGAAAATAATATATTTATATCATATCATTGAATGTAAAAAATACAAAAATATATACAATACAAATAATTCTATATATATATATATACATATATAGAAAAATATGTAATATGTATATATAGTATAATATATACATATATACATATATACATATATACATATATACATAGATACATAGATACATAGATACATATATACATGTATACATATATACATAAATACATATATAAATATGTACATATATACATATATACATATGTACATATATACATATATACATATATACATATATACATATATATGTACATATGTACATATATACATATATACATATATACATATATACATATATACATATATACATATATACATATACATATGTACATATATACATATATATAATATGTAATGTATATATATATATACCGAACATACATGTACTGGATATATATATATATTATCATATCATATCATATCATGTCATACTATATTATATTATAATATATTATAACATATTATATTATAATATATAGTATAATATTATATAATATAATATTATAACATATATATATAATATTACTATATATATATATATGGTTGTTGTTCAAAATTCCTTTTTCCGGGAACGGCCATTCTTCGCGAACAAAATGTTACTTTCGCAAAAATTTTGCGGACTCTCTGTTTATCTTTCGCGAAACCCATATTGGGCAACAATGCTTCTTATGAAGATTCATTCATCACCGGCCAAATTGCGCCGAATTATCATCGATCACTTCTTGATACCCTTATGCACATGCAGCTAGCATCACGGAATTTCTTCTCAGGACAAATTGTTGCTGATTAGGCAATTTCATTTGTATATTCAGCAACCAACACTCTTGGACTCCCCACCTAGCGTCTGCTCAGCACCTGCAAAGACATTGGTGATGGTCTCAAAAGTGGCACGTCGCTGCAAGAGATTTGGCGACGTTCGCGCTGCAGGGACAAGAACAGGCTCGTCTTCATCGTCAGCATTTCGTGTCATGTACTGGGCCCAGGCCGTTTCTTGGCCGTTTCTTGAGCCAAGCACGCTGCATGGGATGATGGCAAGCGGGGAAATCTGATGTCAGATTCATCACATGAAATGATCTGCCAAAAGGATGATCTTTTACCACAAAGATGTACAGTACATTGCCTTACCTTACTAGCAGTGTCACTTGCCACACATCCAGACATGGACCCTTAGCCTCGGAATAATTATGTCTTTTGCACCCCCCAGGATAGAAAAAGTTAAAATCCTACATGTTAAGAGCGGGAAAATGAATCTGTTTATCCTTTTTTGCGTTTACAATGATATGTGTATATTCTGTATGTATATATGTATATATACAATGTAATTCTAGCATGATATAGAATACTCACGACAAAAATGCGCATCTGAGCACACCACGACTTACTGGTGCTTTTTTTTTAACGGGGGAATGATCCAATCCATGACCATTCACGATCATCCCATTCCCACATAACCAGGACTTGTGGTAGATATATCGAACTCATTCGAACTAATGTGGTTAAAACAATATCATAAACCATCCCCCAGTCATCACCACTTTTATGTGGTATAAACTTAATATAAACCATTCCCATTATTCCTATTTTTGGGTGGTTTATGACATTGTTTTAACCACGATAATCCTCCCCTTGCACCGATCGTCGGGACTTTTCCTGGCATCACTCGTGGATCGGCAGCCGATCCAAGACGAGGTTTTTCGCCTGGGAAGAAAGAGAGGAAGGCCATGGGAACATTCATGACAAATTATGATGTTTAATGAGTGCGATATTTTTTTTGCAATTGGATAATTGGATGCATTTTGTTCAGTAAGAAACGCACGTGGAGAATGGACAGCGAAAGCAAACTTTGGAAACGAACATCCAATTTAGTACTTCAGGGTTTATCCCGCCACGATCGTAGGAAATGGATCAAAACTGGCACACCAAAACGCCCTGAGATTAGTCTAGATTCGTAGGGGTCTTAGCTCTAATCTTCAGAGGCTAAGTGTGAGTTGAATTTTCTGAATGCTCATGTTTTTCTAGCTAAAACATTGTCTTCTGCATGTTGTGCACATTCCTGATCGTTCCTGCTGGGTTTTGTAAAATTGATTTGGAAACTCCATGATAGAAAAGACTTGCCACGAAAGGCGCTCCAGATTGCTCCCGGGTATGTAACTTGACTTTCATTGCCATCTTATTGGATAAAGACACCACCATAGTGTAACGTATTTTCCGCTATTTGAGGAGTCTGTGATGCATCACCTAGGCAGTCCCACCAGTGAATGCCCAAAGATTCTATTTCGGATTCCGTATTGGCCCCAAATGCCACTGGCTTGTGAAGAACGGGATTCCCAGTTGATGACATGACGACATGATTCTAATACTCCCCATCCCCAGTCTATAAAGGGTAGTTCTTGACCCCGAACTAATCATCAAACCACCAGGGCCACCAGGGGTCAACGGAACACTGCTCTCCTGCGCTTCGACGATGATCGACGTCCATGTACCCCGCCGCGATCATCACGTCCTTCGCTTTGGTTTTCTGCTAGCTGTCCTCTTGGTCCAATAGACTCGGGTGGCCCCACATCATGAAAGTCCTGGGGCTGTCATGGGGAATGCGCAGAAACTCTGCTACTTGAAGCTACGCATAAAAGAATAGAGTCAAAAGGTCAAACATGACATGGTACCCTGTATTAATCAAAATGGCAATTGAAAATCCCCAGTTATAGCCCAGTTATAGATCATTCTTTCCATTTATATAAATTGCCATTTATAGGGAATTGTCTATCAACCATACTCGAACCGCCGGAGGTTTTGCGAAGCATAGCAGACCTTGCAGGATGGACAAAAAATGAAATGAATGGCTACCTTAAAAAGTGAAATGCCAAAATCATCCCATTTATAAATTTCCACAGTGTCTGGAATCCTGTATTGCATTAATCTCCAATGGTTTATCATTATTTTCCCTATTCAAAAATTGTTATCCCATAGGCTATACCAGCTCTAGCGGCTATACCCCATTTTCAGATACATCCAGTCACCTTTCCTGTACAATTGCAATCAGATAGATGTTCTAATGTGGGTAAAACAATGTCATAAACCATCCCCCAGTCAGCCCCATTTTTATAGGTGCTATTTCTACATATTTCTACCATGAGTCATGGCTGGTGGCATTGTTTTACCATTCATCACCCAAGTGCTCCGCGGCCTGGAGGCATTGATCTTATCTTGGCGCCCTGCCAGCTCTGCAGCCAGTGGGCCCGACTGGAGGCACTGACAAAGGTCAGGGAAGGCGGGCCTCAGGAAAGCTGAAGCCCTTATTGGGATCACTGAGGCGCCTTGTTTGGTGCCCGATCTTGATGTTTGGCCAGCAACTTGGTGGAGAGATCCCCATCGTTTGGTCGTTCTGGTGTTTTTTTTTCGGATGTCTGCGAAAAGCCTCCGAAGTTGATGCTTAAATCCCACTGTATACAATAATCATCAATAATCAATGGATGTGTTTCCGGGGAAATCTATATACAGGAAACTACTTCCCCCCCCTGCAAAGGGTGGTGGGTGGTCCTTGAGATATTGGTCATGTTTAGTATCATCCAGTAAAAAGGGTGTACCTAATAACTTGACCCATCCAAACAAATCTGAAGATCCAGTGTTTGGGGAACTCAAACTAAATTGGGAGTGTCACCTGAGCCATCAAAGTTATACCCCGGGTTCCCATCCCATGAAGTGGTTGCAAGGCATTTTGGGTGACTTATCCCATTAATTCTACCGGTTGGTTGATAGCTATCCTAGTTGTCCTTATGATAGATTGTAGTAGTCCCTAATAGACCAGGTTTATTAATCCCTACAAGGTGATACCCCCTCGTGAAACGCGTGTTGCTTTACAAAACCATGAACTAGTTTGTTATATCCCCCTTATCAACCCAAGTTTGTGCTAGCGGGGGGAAAACCGGACGCTATCTTTACTGTTATTTGTTGATGCACTTGCAAACCATGTTGATGGGGTGGGGTGGGGTGGGGTGTATTAACGTTCATGCAGATTCTAAGCAGAAACGAATGCGTTTGTGGAAAAGATGTTACATGATGTTACATGTTACTTTAAGTTGTTTGTGTTGACCGAGTAAAGATGTTACATGTTACATCATGGGATATGGCTGGAGTTAGGACAGATGTTACATGTTACGTCAAGTTGTTTGTGTTGACCGAGTAAAGATGGACTTGCAAAGGCCAAAGGCCAAACCCGTTGCTGATGCAATATGCGCAGCAGTGGCAATGGCGGTGGGTCCAGAAGAAACACTTGTTTCAGGCTACTGTTGCACAAACAAGCCTTTGGATGAAAATGCTCCGAAGAAAAAACGTTGATGAGCAAAGCATGCATATATAAAAACAAAATGGCCCAAAACGCTGGTTTTAGACACTTGGGGAAAGGAATTTGATCAAATTCCTTGCAGACATGAAGTTGCAATTCGCATGGCCCTGCCAATATGAAATGCACATTCGACTGTAAATTAAGGTCCGAATAACCCACCGCACGGAAGTTTGTTAACCCGGTGAAGTGAACTGTGCCTCAACTTGTCGCAATTTAATCTCACCTTGCCCAAAGCAATCAATGGTATTTTGATCATAGCTCACTGTTGATTATAGTTGATTAATATATTCCATTAGTATCCCAGTATAATAAATGGTTTATGTAGCCATGATAAAACTGGTTCCTATTAAGTTCATATTCAAAAAAAACATCATTACATCCCCATAGTAATATCCCCATATTGTCGGTGATAGTCCCAGTAGTTCCCACTAAAAACATCCCATTTAAATCCCACAACCAACACCATGTTTGTTGCTTAAAAGGTTCCATTAAGATACTTTAAGATCCCATTCATATCCCATTACATATATATATATATATATATTTATTATTTATATTATGTGTGTATATATATATGTGTGTGTGCGTATGTATTATATATTATTATTATTATTAATTATTATTAGTAGTAGTAGTATTATAATTATTATTATATATATATGTATTATACTATATATATATATATGTATTGTATTATATTATATATATATTATATCATATTATATATATATACATATATGATTTATATTATATATATATATTATATTATATATAATATATTATATTATATATAATATATTATATATATATATGTATTATTTATATTATATATATATGTATATATGTATTCTACTCTATATACACATATACATATTATATGTATTATATATTATATACATGATATATATGACATATGTTATATATATATATATATATTATATTATATATTATATATATTGTATATTATATATATTATATTATATATATTATATAATATATATATATATATTATAATATATAATATATATAATATATAATATATAATATATATTATATATTATATATTATATATATTATATTATATAATATATATATATATTATAATATATAATATATAATATATATTATATAATATATATATATTATAATATATAATATATAATATATTATATATATATTATATATCCAATTACAGTTGGCTTCAAGTGTATGTTGCCATTGAAATTGGTGAATATCAGCTATATTTCCTGGAAAAATCATCAGGCGCCAAAGATCGGCTCCTGCATCTCCGCTACGGTCGCAAAGGAGGCCGCCTGCTGCGCAGCGCGTTGTGCCACCATGGGAAGCTCCACGGTGCTACCGCTCACCTGGTAGAGGCCTGGAAACAGATGGGAATTCATGGAGATTGTACAGTTTACCAAGAAAAACCATGGGATTTACCCAGGATGCATGGGATTTAATAGGATTTGATGGGATTTATGCAGGATTTCAGAGTGATTTTCTGGGAATTAATGGGATTCACCCAGGATTTGACTAATAAAAATGATTAAAAATGTGGCTTTTTTATTGGGATGTAATGTGATTGACCGGGATTTGCCATACAGTAATCAAAAAGTGACTTGCTGGAAAATCCACTAGCAATAGTTCGATGCTTTTCCCAGCGAACTAAGCCTCCATTCGGTTGAAAAACTTCCCAGCCACCTTTGATTCCCATCGGGCCAACGAAATTTACATTGTCAACATCTAGGAAAATTAGATGGAAACATGATATGAAAAAATGTAGAGAATTGTAGGGAAATGATAAAACACTATACGAACATGAGCGTGGAGACATAATCAATATATATATATATATAGATAAATGTGAGTACATATTTGATTAAAAAAAATACGTTGCATGTGTTGTATATGTGTCTGCAGGGAAATGGTATAGGAATACGTGGATCCAACACAATCAAGAATTGCGGATATATATATATATAATAGATAGAATTACCGAGTACAGTGGATCTTTGATGTAGATCCAAATAACAGACTGGAATAGATAGAACCATCTGCATAGAAACAATGAACATGAATCAGCACCAGAAGCCCAAGTGCCGCAAGCTATAGCAGTCCAGCTGAGAATCAACATACACTACCAGTACCCTCCGGCAATCAAACGTGGCAAAGAAAACTCCATGGACTCCATGATTTACAATGTGGTTAAAACAATGTCATAAACCATCCCCAAATCACCATAAATAGGTGGTATAAACCATTCCCAAATGGGTGGTGGTTATTATTGTTTTAACCACATTAGATTATTTTCCCCTCAGAAACCTCCATTTCTGGTGGATTGAAACGCTCGCCGCGTTGGAGGAAGCCCAGACCTGCTTCGACATCCGCGTCCCACATGCATTGCACTTGCTCCGGAGAGACGTGATGAATGACCCAACTCCGAGGAGTGACATGTGACCAGAGACCGGGATTGCAACCTCAGTGAACAGCTGTGTTTGGGTTTCAGGTGATCGTGCAAACATTAAAACAATGAGTGGCAGGTGCATGTGTGTGTACAATATGTGTATTATATATATATATCATATGTTATATTATATATTGAATCATTATGATGAATATGATGTATATTCTGACTGTGTATCATATTTTTTGTATATATATATATATATGTGCATAATACATAGATAATAATATCATATCATATTAATATATATATATATTAATTATTCATGTGTTATATGTGTTATATAAACCAACCCAGGTCATCGCCATGGGATGCCATGGGCCCCAAGAAACTGGGTTCCATGGCAAAGACTCGGTAGGAATCGCGGTCATCCAACGTCATCCGGGGGATCATCCGGGGATCATCCCGGAGATATCCTGGGATCGGAGCTTCCAAAACCGTCACCCCTCCAGTGGGGGTTTTTGTAGGGTCACCTGAAGTCCTAAGAAAGGCTGACTTGGAACATAAGAATGTCAGACATAACTTACATAACTCAAAAAAAACTGAAAATGCATGAAAATGCATTTCATGAGTGCCAATATGTGGACCTTTCAAGCTTGCTGCGTTGGGGACACCTCCCGTTGGACAAACATCTTCTGCCGAAGCGCTGAGATGAACTCCGAAACAAGGATCATCGCCGGAGATCACCGGCAGCTTACCTCTTCAAATCATGGCATCCAAATCATCCAAAAATCTGGGGAAAATGGAGAATACCATGACACCATGAGATATCCGTTTTGAACATATGGATCATATGGCCGTTTTTGATCAAATATTTATATACCTGGATCCTCGTAGGGCTGCTAAATTTTTGCCTTCAGAGAAAAATCCTGATTTGTGATTTGGAGTCGGTTCCTGCAAATCTGAATCGTTTCTTGCAATTTCGCCCGTCCATTGAAGGCCTAAAGGGGGACCAACATGTCACACTACTCGTCCATGAATGAGAGAGAACAAAATCATTGATCGATATTAATCCTCAAACCTGAAATGGTTGTTGCACAAAAACAATCGATCGATGCAAACGATAAACTCCTCAAACCTGAAGTGGTTGCTGCACATCCGCTGTGAACCTTTTTTTCACCTCGTTTCTCGGCATCCATGTCCGGGCATCCATGGACTGGTGAAGTTCCAGCCTCAAGGTGCGCTGGGTCACTCGTGTGTCATATTCAGCTGCTGTTCACTCTTGAAAGGATCGCATGAGAATGTCTATCGATCAATGCATGTCTCATGATCAATCTCTGTGACTGACCTGCATGTTGGCTATACAGTGCGGCGCCACCTGCTTCAAGTATGACCTTCATCATATGCATGCATGCACGCATTTTTTTAACATTGTGGTATATTGTGGTTGTGGCATTTCCTGTGGCCTGTATCTTTATGGCCATACCTGACCTTGCCATGCCTTCCGTGAAAACCGAGCCGGCTGCTCCTCTTCATGTGTCTGGGGTTCCAGCTGCCAAAGCTTCGACTGGGAGGCGCAAGATCACTGACTTTCGCCTGGCAGAGAAGTTGGAAGACTGCCGCTTTGTCAGGGATCTTCTCCGACATACGGGGCGCCTGATTCAATGGGCAAATGAAGATGTGGTCAATGTCATTACATTGGAAGCTTTGGGGCTGAACTATCGTCTCATGGTCATGGTGGCCGATTTTCACTGCTCCCAGACCAATGTGGTCAAACCCCCGGGCATCAATTTCTTGAAAGCTCAGGCTTGAATCCAACACCAATGGAGTTCGTGAATTTTTTGGGGCGTGTTAAGAACTCATGCATGCATGTTTATAACTGTTCTTGTCATGTGTTCAACAACCAACGCTTCCTTGAAGGTGTGGAAACTTCGATCTATGCTCAGCATGCCCGTGAACCCTGTTGCCATACACCATGATTCATGGGCAGTGAAGAAATTTTTTTCCCATGCTCTTCGTCGAGCCGGTGTTGAGCGGATGGATTCTGGAGACAGCCCGTCCCGAAGAGCTGCTCAATCAACCATAGTTGAGTTTCCCATCAAGCGTTCACGACTTATACCATTTACAAGGTACGTTTTGAATTTATAAGGTCGATCCTTATTTATTGGTGGTCTCATTCTCATCTGTTGCTCTAAGGCTGCTGGTGTCACGGAATTCTTCGACGCCATGATGAATCACTGGGAGAAGCCACTCAAAGAGCTCTCTGCCCAAAGGATGCGAAGAAGGTCAGAAGGCCACACCGAAGTGATCGAGATTCCAGATGATGATTGCAAAAGCGTTTCCATGGATGAGCTTGAAAAGCAGTCCTTGCAGAAAGCGCAAGAAGGCATCATCATTGTTGATGGTGATGATTTGTTGGCGGATGATGGATACGCTAACCCCGAGGAAATTGCCAATGGCGAGGTTCCCGAAGCCATGCCCAAGCCCGAGGAGAAACCCAACACCATGACCGAGAAGAAAGCCACGATCGAGGAGAAACCTGAGGAAAAGCCCACGCTTGAGGAGCCGAAGTCTGCTGATGCTGACAACCGTGGAAAGGATCAGTCTGTCGATGCGGAGGATGCTGATGCGAAGGCTTTGGCCGCGAAGCGTCGAGAGGAGTTGATCAAGCAACTTGTTTTGCTTTCCATGGAAATTGATTTTCAAAATTTGTATAATGCATGGTTTGAAAACAGATCCTGTTGCTCTTTCAATATATTGTTCGGCGACCCGTATCCCTTTGGTTATGCTATAGCACTGTTGCTTTTCAGTGTCTATCAACGACCCGTCACTTGAGGCAAATCCTTGACAAAAAGAACGAGCTGGAGAAGCAAGCAAGAATGGACGAAGCGAAGAACACTGAGAAAAAGAATGATGTCAAGGACAAGTCAGAGAAGGACCCTCCTGCTGATGTTGTGCAAACAGTTCCATACGATGTGGATGCTGCCCTCTATGAGCAGTACATGGACAATCCGGAGTCGCAATGGCGAATGGAAGAGGCAGCCAAGACACAGGAAGACGAGGAGACTAGTGAGGAGATCAACGAGAAGACGCAGCTTCTTCGAGCTAAGACTTTGAAGCTTGGTGATGAGCAAGCAGCTGCAGCCAAAGAGGGGTCTGACGAAGAGGAGCCTGCCGAAGAGAAAGGAAGAGCTTCTGTGAAGCCATTGGAGAAGGGCAAAGGTGGTGTCGTACCTCGAGCGAAGCAAAAGATGGAAAAAAAAGAAGCATCAGCAGGTGATGAGGTGCTCGCTGATGACACTGCTGGGGAGCCAGCCCCGACTGAGAATCCCTTCGGTCTGGAGAAGAAGAAAGATCAACCAGTTGACTTGCAGCTGGTGGACATTGATAGTGACGATGATGAGCTGCGCGATTCTGCTGTGCCCCTGAGTCTCTTGGAAACCATGCATGCGCAGGGACTGTCGTTGAAGGGTGCGATTGCGAGCCTTCGCAACGCAATGGTAGATGCGCCGATTGTCAAAAGGATTGAGCAGTACAAAATCAAGAAGGTGAAGGTGCAGAAGGCGAAGCCAAAGACTGAGGAGGAAGCTGGGTCAGATCAATCAGATGAGGAGGAGATGCGCGAGCCAAAAGATTCGACGAAGCCGAGGCCGAGGCCGAAGGCGAAGGGAAAATCGAAGAGCAAGGGGAAGGGCAGGGGAAGGGGAAAGGCGGCTAAGGCGAAGGCCAAGCCCTACGCCAAGAGAAAGGCACAAAAGAAGGTTGAGGAGCATGAGATCAGCGATGAATCTGACGAAGAGGACGAGGACGAGGAGGAGATCTCTAGCATGCATGCGAAGAAAAGGGCTGAGGTGAAGCTGCGCGAGGCAAAGAATGCCAAGACCAAAAATTCCGAACCCAGTTCGGATTCTGAGCTTCCCTTGCCCAAGGACAGCAAGGTGGAAAAGGTGACGAAGAAGAAGACTACTGAGGAAGCTCCGGCGAAGAAGAAGAAGAAGACTGAGGAGAAGATGACTGAGGAAGCTCCGGCGAAGAAGAAGAAGAAGACTGAGGAGAAGATGACTGAGGAAGCTCCGGCGAAGAAGAAGAAGACTGAGGAGCAGATGACTGAGGAAGCTCCGGCGAAGAAGAAGAAGACTGAGGAGCAGATGACTGAGGAAGCTCCGGCGAAGAAGAAGAAGACTGAGGCTGAGGCAGTCCCGGACAAGAAGAAGAAGAGGACTGATGAAGCCCCGGAAAAGGGTGAGCCCAAAACTTTTGCCCGCCGTCCATGCCCAAAGACTTCCCCGGCCAGTGACCGTTGGATTGCAATCTCCCAGACTTTCAAGAAGCATGTGGCGCCCAGAATCGTGGCCTTGGGATTGTACACGTACTCGTACGAGGACAGGGGAGCCACCAAAATTTCCAATTGCCATCTAGCGTTAAGTTTAGATCCAAATAATCGAGATGCGGTTTGGGAATTGGTTTCTTTCCATGTTCCCATCAAGGAGCCTTTCCTGCATATGGCAACGGCGGCCCTCGAGGGCTATGACCCGTCCGACTACGCCAAAGTAGTCTGTGGGAAAGTGGTTGATTTCATGGAAACGCTTCAGGATGTGGAGTAGATAGCTAGCTGACGCAGCGCTTGGGATGGACTCTGCGGCTTCAATCAGTGCTCCCGACTGAAAGCTAACATTATTTCTATTTCATTCACTGCCCATGAAATTTTTGATTCATGTGAAGCTGCGGGTCCCGCAGCGTGTGAAACCATGCTGCCAATTCTTGGGAACTTAGTGTGCACAATGCACACATTTTGAACATTTTGGGGGCCATGTGTGTACTGCTCGTGCATGCCTCGATCCATCAAACATTGTGCAGGCATCGTGCCACGAAAAAGCACGAGCTCGTGCATCATACTTCATGCATGAGTTAATTAATCCTATCCCCTTATTCTTAAACACCCCCTAAACTAAACGGTCCCAATTATATGGAAATCCTCGAGGCCATGGTTTCTGGAGAAGTGTTCAATATTAGGGGGAGAGATTATATCGATCGAGATCGCGTTCCATTAGCTCGGTTTCTGTCCCCACCTGGCCCATGTCCTCACCCCGGCCTCTCGGTCGAATCGTTTGCATGGGCAGGAAATGTATGGACTTCGAAGAGGCCAAATAGGCCTGGCAAAGTTTGGCGTTGGTGCCAGATACGAGCAGCCTCAACGTTGACCTGGCTAGTTTTTTCAGTGAATTCGTACCATGTCCAGCTGATTCATCACAAGCCCACTGGTACTAACTTGGCCGTTGGATCCTTGTTGCAAACCAGTGCTCATTTGGATCAAATTCTAAAGACTTGCCAACTGCAGAGCCATGGGCCCCTCTCAGCTTGAGATATTCTTCAAAAGGATGTTCAGCTTGAAGATTCCAAAAGTCACTTGTTGTGAACGCATGCATGAAAAACCTTTTGAAAAAGGTCGTGTTTATGAATGGGATTCCATCTAATTAACAATTATACGACTGGTTCCTCATCACCCGACCCGAGGTGATAATTATGCTGACGCTTTTGGTATCTTGGATGGAGGAACCTGAAGGCTGCAAACAGAACATACAGGTCATAGAATACTTCGCAGGAGTTGCAAGAATCACCCAAATGGCAAATCGTCTTGGATACCAATCAGTTGCCTATGATTTGGAATATGGCCGCAAGAAAGCTGCAACATCGGGGCGGCGAAATCCGCTTGACTTGAATTCCAATGCAGGTATGGTATTAGCAATAAAACTAATAC